TTTGGGTTTGGTTTATTTTTTGAGGGGCGGGGGGGGAGATCATTTAAATTTATTATGACAATGTGACAAATCAATTGGACAAATTGATTTGTGATTGTGACAAATCGGACAAATTGACAAATTGATTTGATTAATTTGGAGGATGTACGAAGTCTAACCGAGCAGCTGCAAAACGAGAAGGCGACGGTCTCGAGGGCAGTCACACAGAATCTCGAGCTCAAAGAGCAGCTGATCGAGCTGCAGAATAAGCTGGTAACGTTGTCAGAGGTTTGTTTAGAAATCGATTTTTTTTGAGTTTAATTTTATGATGGTTCGGATTTGTGGAGATTTATAGAGGATTGTGGAGGGGAATGTTAGAATTGAGTTAGAACTGGTAGAGATGGATGGGTTAGATATGGAATTTTTATTGTATTGTTGCGGTTTAGTTTAGTTTTTAAAAAATTTGAGTGGATTTCGTCTATTTTTTTGGTGGCATCGTTATAGTTCTACGGTTTTGGAATGGCATCGCGCACGCAGATACGCACGCGCGTGGTTGGGCGTGCGTGTGGGCGCGCGTGTGCGAAAGTTGAAAATGTGAATTGNGAATTGGAACGCTTGAAGTGGCATCAGATCGAGGACGGTGGTGAGGAGGGCGACGGGAAGACGGTGGTGGTTGCGGGAACGAAGGAAGTGAGTCGGGCAGATGGTTAGTTTTAAAGATTTTTTCAGTGATTTGTAGTTTGTAGTTTGGTTGTTTCTGGTTTAACGATCGACGATTGTTATTTTTAACGATTTGTTCAGTGATTTGTAGTTTGGTTTGTAGTTTGTAGTTTAACGGTTGTTATTTTAGTGATTAGCGATCAGTTCAGTGATTCAGTGAACACAATGATTTTCAGAATCTGGAGAAGGCGATCAGCCAGGCTTCGACGGAAGCCAGAAGGATGGCGGTGATGGCGATGGTGAGACGGCGATAACTCGAGATCAACCGAGTGCAGAGGTTGAGGTGGGTGGTTATTGTGGTGATGTGAAGTTTTTAATTTCAAAACATTTAGAATTTTTTGAAATTTAAACTTTTTAGAGTTGTAAAATATGAAACGTTACGTGCGAAAATATTCTGCATTTGTAGTTTTTGTGGTTTGTAGTTTGTAGTTTGCAGTGTGTAGTTTGATTTCCATTTGATGAATCGGATTGGTTTATTGCAGA